CCCCCCGAAGAGTTCGGTGAGGCCATGGAGAAGGACTATCGGTCGGCCTTGAAGAGATTCTGGCAAACCGTCTGGCGCCTCAGGAGGGGGAAGCAGTGCCCTGCCAAAACTGTTTACAGTGGAGGTGGGCAGCTGTTGACCTCAACTGGGGACATTGTCGGACGGTGGAAGGAATACTTCGAGGATCTCCTCAATCCCGACGCCATGTCTTCCGATGAGGAAGCAGAGGCTGAGGGCTCAGAGGTGGACTCGTCCATCACCCAAGCTGAAGCCACTGAGGTAGTCAAGAAGCTTCTCGGTGGCAAGGCACCGGGGGTGGATGAGATCCGCCCTGAGTACCTTAAGTCTCTGGATGTTGTTGGGCTGTCTTGGTTGACACGCCTCTGCAACGTCGCATGGCGGTCGGGGACAGTGCCTCTGGACTAGCAGACCGGGGTGGGGGCTCCTCTTTTTAAGAAGAGGGACCGGAGGGTGTGTTCCAACTATAGGGGGATCACACTCCTCAGCCTCCCCAGGAAAGTCTATGCCAGGGTACTGGAGAGGAGAATTTGACCGATAGTCGAACCTCGGATTCAGGAGGAACAATGCGGTTTTCGTCCTGGCTGTGGAACACTGGACCAGCTCTATACCCTCTTTAGGGTGGCGGAGGGTTCATGGGAGTTTGCCCAACCAGTCCACATGTGTTTTGTGGATCTGGCAAAGGCATTTGACCATGTCCCTTGCAGCACCCTGTGGGGGGTGCTCCGGGAGTATGAGGTCCGGGGCCCTTTGCTAAGGGCCGTCCGGTCCCTGTACAACCAGAGCAGGAGCTTGGTTCGCATCGCCGGCAGTAAGTCAGACTTGTTTCCAGTGCATGTTGGACTCCGGCAGGGCTGCCCTTTGTCACTGGTTCTGTTCATTATTTTTATGGACAGAATTTCTAGGAGCAACCAGGAGCCGGAGGGAGTCCGGTTTGGGGACCACAACCAGTCCAAATGAGCTTTCTCCGCAGGGCGGCCGGGCGCACCCTTAGAGATAGGGTGAGGAGCTCGGTCACCCGGGAGGAGCTCAGAGTAGAACCGCTGCTCCTCCACATCGAGAGGAGCCAGCTGAGGTGGCTCGGGCATCTGTTTTGGATGCCTCCTGGGTGCCTTCCTAGGGAGGTGTTCCGGGCATGTCCCACCAAGAGGAGGCACTGGGGAAGACCCAGGACACGCTGGAGGGACTCTCAGCTGGCCTGGGGACGCCTCTGCATTCCCCCGGAGGAGCTGGAGGAAGTGTCTGGAGAGAGGGAAGTCTGGGCATCTTTGCTTAGACTGCTGCCCCCGCGACCCGGTTCCGGATAAGTGGAGGAAAATGGATGGATGGATGGATGTTTATGTTTTGTGGTAGTGTTACCTACATGCAAAATGAACTGTTTACAATCTTGAAGTCACTGGAGTGAAGAAGGATAAAACTTTAAAGGGGTGATGGGTGGTCTTTTATGTTTTTGTTATTGCCAGCATATTACATTAAAAGTCCACCACTCAATACGACTTCCTTACACTGGTCTTTGTCAGAGTCACCCAGATCCTTACACTGCCTGTTTTTCCTGCTTCAAACACATCAACTTCAAGTATTGAATATTCACTTGTTGCCTAGCATACCCCACACACTGACAGGCGCCACTGTTATGAGATAACCAATGATAGTCACTCACGTGTCAGTGGTCATAATGCTATGGCTGATCGGTGTATGTACTTATACACTAGTACGCTGGAGAATCTCATTTATAACCCCAATATGAAATTCTAAAAGCCCTTAAGTCTGAAACAAAATCAGGTCAATATTTCAGATATGACAACTAATCAACACTACAAATGTAACATTTGTTCAACCACAAGTGATAAAATACATAACTTTATTATTTTGCTTTCATATCAACCCCCTTCTGTGAGAAAATGCAGTGCATCAGTATTTTTAAAATATATGACACATCCGATATATTATTTACTTGCACTCCATAAATAATATGCCCCAAAGGGTCTGATGGAATCATCTCTCTGTACACCCATCTCTGACTCCCTAGTACTTTAAAATTCAAGTTTGAGATATTCTTTAGTAAACCATCCAACAATTCAAACACTTTGATATCAGCATGATAGTGCAATATCAAATCTCTTTGTGGGCATGTGCATGTCTGTGTCTGCCGCGCTCCTCATTAACATCGTCGCCCACCATGGCTGCAATCAATTTAATTTCAAATGTGCCTTGTCAATTACATTTAAAACTCAGCTGCTGCGTGTTATCAAATGTTGTTTCTCAAAGCTCAGTAAATCTGAGGCACAGGAAAATGACTTTAATCATATCACCATAAACAAAGCCGGTTGTTGGGCAGTCTCGTCGTCTCAGGTGGCGCACACATACAAATTGAGCTTTTTAAACAAATTCATCATTTTCCCCCTCACCTTGGCAGTAATTGATTGTCTGGAATGAAGGTATTTTGGTCAAAGCACTTTTGGTTAGTGGGATATTTAGCTTTGGGACAAATTATCCCTATAAAGGCAGTCCTATCGCTCTCCCAGAGGGCAAATCAGGAAGTGAGTTAGATGTGAAATGAACGCCTTCATGCTTCGGTGCACTATCAGAGTGAGTTTTGCAGGTTCTAAAGGGATCCTTGAACAGATCATTTAGAGGCATTGATCCACTGGGGAGCTCCTCTCGGCTCTCTCTGCCTGCAATCAACTCTGATTAACAACTAAAGAGGGAAGGCAGCGAGAGAAACAGAGGGAGAGATGCATGAAATGAGAATAAAAGAAGTGAAAATAAAGAACGGAGAAAGTGAGACACAGCAAGAAAAGGT